CAGCTTTCTGATGAAACAGTTACTATGTCGTATTTTTTTGTTTTTTCTTATTTACTTTTGCAATTAATGGTATTCTGCATAGGCTTTTTTCGCAAAAGGTAGAAATTGATTTCTCAGTCGACATCACAATGCCGTGAAAAGTTTTAACATTATGTGATCGTTATGTGACTTGATTAGAAGTTTAGAAAGTTGATCATCGGTTACATCGATTTCAAAAAAATACTGCATATCAGAAACTTCAGTTAGTGCGATAAAAAAAATAAAAAAAAGATTTAGATACCACAGACAATTATGTGGCTGGTGCTTAAAGAAAAACTTTGAAATTCGGAGAGACGTATAAAGTCGAGGCAAAATTATATGAATGGGTCTGTGCACAACGAAGTAGAACTCTTCCAGTCTTTCGTGAAATATTGAAAACAAAAGCAAAAGAGATAAATAACATTTTGAAAGAAAAGACTAATATTTTTTCCAAGCGATGGGTGGGTTCAGAAGTTTAGCGAAGTTTTAGAATAATGCTTCTAAAAATTTCACGGGAAAAGTTATTTTCGAGTTCTCATCTTGTGAATCCCTTTAAAAGCACTTTTAATTCATTAGTAAAAGCGCATAACCTAATAGAAGATCATATCTATAATCATATCTATATCTATATAAAACTTTGGCTTGCAAACATGAAACAGCTGCACCTGAGCAAAAGCTTGAAAAAGCGCGCCTTACATTTTTAGGCTGCACAAATGCATCTGGCGATCATAAAGTAAAACCTGTGGGGAAAGCAGTAAAGTCAAGATGCTTTGAAAAATGTTTGCTTCCAGTGAATTATGATCGTTCAAAAAATGCCTGGATAAAAAGTGTTACTAAAGATTATATTCATATAAAGTATTTTTATTAATAAAATTAGGGAAAAAACTTAAAAAAAAAAATTTCGATTTTGTGAATATTTCGATTATGTGAACTTGCTCTGTCTGAATTAGTTCACATAACTGAGCGCGTACTGTATATAGATTGTGTTTTGGGCGCTCAGCTACTCTGAGGGTTTCTGCAGAGTCCCACGCTTCACGCTGACTAATTTATGTATTCCTCCACAGTTTCGTGATTATTCGATGGCTGATCTAAGATCTTCATACCACCCCGTACCGTATCATTATTGCATTATTTTTTCTTCGGTTAAAAAATACTGTTATAAGTAAATATAATTTTCAAGAGTTATAAAAGAGTTATTGTAAACTATTTTTTGCTACATTATCTGAATGATTAATTACAGGTAATAAGATTGGTTCAGTTATAGTAAAGTCGGAATATATTATTGGAATTTATTGAAATTAAGAAACGAAAAATGAACCTTATGATCACTTAAGATCTCATGTAACTAATTATTATATATCTATAAAATATATATACTTGTTAGTAAGATCTTATGTAAATAATTATAGAGCTGACCACTCTAGTTGTCTTCTCACATTTTCATTGCCATACATGATTGTTGGTTTGTAAGAGTCACATTAAGTTTCTGTGTACAAACATTTGAGGATTATCTAAAGACTGACCATTCTAGTTGTCTTCTCACATTTTTATTGCCATACATGATTGTTGCATTTGAAGATTATCTGTTAAAGTAATAACGATCTCTGGAATATTGTCAGTCCAAAAACAAAAGACATTTCAGTAAAATAAAAGAAATTGAATACAAACAGTGAAACATACATTTATATACTTAGCTTATATTTGGAGGTTAGCGGAAAATAAATATATTTATTTTTCGTTCTTATCTTTTTAACAAAATTTGGAAAATACGGTCTATAAAAGTTATGAAGTTTATTAATAACCTTATATTCTTTGCAAACTTTTTGAGCAATATGTCTCCATTAAAAAATCTAGCGCACAAATGACATAGATACAATCCCTTCTGATCAGAGATATTTTCCAAGCTAGTTTGAAATTCAGATGAAAATATTTAATTGAAAAAAATCAATTGAATAAAAAAAATTGTCAAAATAATTTTAACGGAATTAGAACCTCAAACTTCTTTTTATAGGCGTCACAGCTTCCAATATAATATAATAACGCATATATCGATGAATAAAGCGTATACCGATAGCATCACCACAAAAAGCAATCAATTAGGCGTTCTTAACCAATAGAATACAAAATCTTTTCTATATAAGCTAAGTATATTGTATCTTATCATAGAAAAAGAGAGTAAAACAAAGAAAACAAAAAAAAATTATAGAACAATTTCAAAAGATCATATATGTAACTTCTGTATTTAAGATAATTAATACTAAAAAAAATTTTGTATGAAATTAATGTCAAAATTATGTTTTTTGTGTAAGATACTGTTTCTCTTAGTATAATTTAAAGCCAGAGTGTTAAATCTTATGGCTTATCTTTAATGAAATGTAGTATTGACCTTAAGGTAAAAAATATTTTGATAGCATTTTATGTAGTACAAAGTTTAAAACAACAATATATTAAATTTGATTTATGCATTTAGGACAAATGCTTAATTGAAAAGAATAGCTTAATTAATTTATAATTTAATAATAAAAAATTAATACTACATGTATATTATAATATAATTCATATAAGCCATAGTATTTGCTATTGTCAACATTATGTCTATGAAAATATTTTTTATTATTATTTTTCTAATTGCTCCTTACATCAATTCAAAAAATTTTAATTTTATTCAATAAAATTAAGCTATAATTATAATCTTTTGTTTACAATATTAACCCCTGAAATGATTAAAAATGTGAAATATATTCTAACATAACGCATTCTATCAATATTTACTTACGTACCAAATTGCCTTTTTTAACAAATTTATGAATGAAAATAATTTTTTGTCTAATTTTATAGTTAATTGAATACTATTCATATTATTTTTGTTTATTAGATGCTATTAAGAATATTATTTTATTTGTTAATATACTGTGTTATTATTCAATAATAGTAGTGTCCGAGCGAAAAATAAAGGATCCTTTTGAGAAAGGTAAAGGATGCATACGTCTTTCATCGTAAGAAAAGGGATTCATATACAAATGATTTGCTTGCGTTTCCGGATACTTCTTATGCAAGTTATATTGGGGAATCTTAACATTTTTTAAGGCATTAAGTAATCAAAAACTTATACCGACTTACCATATAATAATACTATAAGTTCTTATTAACTTATAGTAATTATATTAACTTAATTATAGTAATTATTAACTTATAGCAAGTTATATTGGGGGATCTTAAAATTTTTTAAAGCCTTAAATAGAATGTACTATAAAAAAATGTAATAAAAACTTATTTAACTAATCAAAAACTTATATCGACTTCACAAATTTAAATACTGTAAATCCAAAAATGAAAATAAAAAACATTCAGAGGAACATGGAATATTATTTACAAAGATTTCTATTTCAAAATTCAGTAGATCTAACGACCTTAACTAAATGACCATTTAACATTAATAACCGTTATTTTATGGAAAAATCATCTTAAGCGTAAAACTTGTATTCCT